AATACGTCTTGACTCTTGCAAACAAATTGAAAATAAAATACCATACAACATTCTGCCTTTTATATTTCATTTTCTGCTTGTACATATTTTAAACAGTTTCACTGCGTGCGTTTTATAAATGAAAGCATAGCAATGATCATTCTTGGAGTATGGAAATTTTTATGAGAACCAGATTGCAAATTTCAAACAGAAACAGAATATAAAAAATGAATATCATTACCTTTGAACAGTAAAAGAAATGTGTATCTTTTCATTTTCTCAATTGGCTTTAATTGACATCAATGCCGTTGCATTAGAATTCGCTGTCTTTTACGTAGACGTTAGGATAATACTTAAACGCATTAAAGTTATGCATGCATGTGGTCGGACTTAAGTTTTCGGAGTACAATTACGTTCCAGCGAGCAGAACAAACTCAATACCAGGAACAAATGCAGATAATGCTAGTTGCGTATTAGCTGCGGTTGAAGCACATTCGGTAATTAACACAATTAGCTGAATTAACAAGCAGAGTCTGGAGTTGGTCATAGGTTCCAGTTCGATACGTCATTTCCACAATTTGCGACCAATATTTTCACAAACTTTTAATCACTTCCACGAGTTTCATAAGTCCCGTTCACAATTTGTTATATGATTACATGTATAATTTCAGCGGGAGAGCGTCTCGTAGCCTACCTGTTGGAAATCGCTACTAGAGAGGATTTGAGGAGAAAAAAGGAACGCGATGGCCGGATTGCTTTTAAAAAAATTCTACTCGGTGGCAACGTTTCACGAGTTGTTTTTGTAGCGCGTTCGATATTTCGGATGTTTTCGTATCGCGACAAAAGCGACGCTACGCGATTTACTTTTATCAGGAACGAAAAGTTTGTAGGGTCATTTTTCTATCTGATCCCACTTCGCTTTTTTATCCCCTGGACGTTTCGCAAATATCTCTCGCGTACCATATGACCCGCGTTTCACACGTCTATGCAGATAGGAAATATAAAGCGAACATACATCAATGAGAATAGATCCAATATTTATCATTATATGTTCACTCAATTTGTTGTGGACTTTAAAGGAGGAAAAATATATTCTATCAGGTCTCTGCAGGAGCTCTTTACAAAGAATTTTATATTGAAAACGAGAAATGTAAAAATCGTTTTTATCTATTTACCTTGTATACAAACTTTATTTACTTTTTTATATGTCCAGTCACGTACGTAATTCTTTCAAAAACCTCTGAAACAGTTCTCTCGTGTGAACGAACAATATAACGATGCCGACAATCCACATTTATGTTCATTATAACGTACCATAATGAGGCTTAGTTCAAACGTCCTGAAAATTAATGCTCTTCCACGGAATGGTTCTTCCATTCGAAAGTTTAATGAAACGATTACGATTGCAATGCTTTTTCTTTTCAACGTAACGAGAAACGAGAAAAGATATTGATTTCCTTTTTCTGATGCCGGGAGGGGGAAAAGCTATGGTAGATTTAAATGAAACCATTTTATTTCCCTATCTACCATTTGTATCAGAAAGCAATTACGCGAGAAAAATTGCCGACCCGACACGTCCGGTCAGAAAATAACCAATTAGCCATCCCGGCTGATTCTCATTAAATGTTTTTAACCGTTACTTGATATTCATTCATTCCAATACGACATAGAATCAATTCCCATTGTTTTGTAAATGCATAAAACATCCATTTAATTCTTACCTACTTTTTTAACAATTGTATCTACATTCCAATACATTTTATGTTTCATATATTCATTTATTTTATTCAAAGCTTTGAGATTTTCATTATTTTTTCGAGACGTTCGATTGATCTATAAAATTCAAATAAACTCTATAAATTTTACTATTGTTATTTCTACTATCCAGATAATTAAAACAACCGCAGAAGCTCCATTTCGCAAATTGAGATTGCGACGATTTAGAAAATTGGGTCAATGGAAGAATCGCATTTATCCAAGTCAGTTTACAAGTTCCAAGCATTTTCAGTTTCAATTCCAAGCATTTTACAAACTGAAACGATCTCTCCTGCTATTTGTACAATTAGCTAAGAGTTTAATTCTCATAACTGTAATAAAATTACTATCTGAACTAAACATAGTTTTTTACGTCGAAGATGAGGAATTTTTTATTCATGTCTCTGTATTCGAGAAATACCGTCGACGAGGGTAGAGAATTTTCTTGTAATGGACGTGAACGAAGATTTGTAACGCGAACAACAGGCATATCCGTCTACCAAACAGAGAATGTATGATTCGACGAGCAGCGGTACAGATTTCGCGATCTGCATATTTTACCTTTCTAACGATTTGAATATTGTTTGTTTTCAACGTTGAAGGTACGTGCGGGATGCCGCCGGAGAAGAAGAGATCAAGGTAGCGGGAACTATAAAATATGCACGGCATCTGGAAACTCTCAGTAGGAATGAAATTTCGCAGATGCTGAGCTAGGCAAGAATCCTTTAGAATATACGAGGGATCGGGCAAGTACAAAAAAGAAAGGAGGAGAAAAAAAAAGGATCTTGAACGGGCGTACGTCGTTGGAATTTCGGAGGATCCTTCGTCTTCGTCCATGGAATTTTGTAGTAACAAGATTCGGGAAAAGATTTCGGCCAGGGTGTAATAACTTGGTAAAGGAGAGGCTCCTACATTGTCCAACTTCATCAAACTAATGGAAACTTCGGTAGAAACGTTATTCTTTTATGAGAAATATGAATTTTAGAATCTTTCTCAACAAAAGTTTTACGCTCTACCCTCCCGACGTAAAAAGTTAAATAGAACCTTGGCAAATATTGTTTGTTGGAACAAATCAAAGGTTCGTCGTGTAAAACGAACTGCGTACGACATCAAAATGCAATTTCACGCGTGCCCCGTGAAAAAAGGACATTTGTTTTCAAGCAAACAAACAAAACTGCGTTCATTCCCTTCTATTCTCTTCTTTTGCGTGAAATTAATTTCCGTCGCGTGAACACGTGCGTGCTGGCTGTTAGAACAAAAACCGATTGTTCCACTCGCAAAATGAAATCGCCTTTGTCGAAAACGAAGTTTAATTCGTACGCGTTGTACGATGATTTAAAGAAAATCGAAGAGGGAAACAGAATTCACAAAAGTGAAATTATGTTTATAATGAATTTGTTGGAAATATTAATCACTGGTGTTGCTTAAGAGGAAAATAAATATATTTCCCATGAGATTTCAGGTAAATCTATGATGCAGCATCACAAGCTGATAATCGATTATTTAGATTTTAAATGATGTACTTATAAAATTGTTTGATTCAAAAGTGTCTTATCATTTTTTATAGAAAACAGAGAATACTTTTATCAGAAGCGAAGGTATTATTATAACACTTGTTTCGACTTCGGTATCATTTTGAGATGAATGGGCGTATGACAATGGGAATTAAAGTAACGTAAACGCGAGACCGAAGGACCGACGATATGAAGAATAGCGATGCGAAAATAACGGGACAGAGGGTGACAAGGAGAAATTGAGAACTACGGAGAAAAAGAGAAGCGAGGCAGGAACGATTCGCAGAAAAAATTAATGAAAGCTCGGATCCGACGTTGGAAAGCCGAAGCCGGGAGAGGGAAATACATGTCGAAATAGGTTGGAGTGATGAGAGGAAAAGGAACGTGTAGACAAAAAATCACAGGCAGACGGGAATAAAAGGACAGAAGTTGGAAGTTGACCTTTGTGGCGGGAGGAGGGAAACGGACAAACGCGTTTAAAGAGGTGAAGCGGGGAGAAAGGCGGATGAAAGGAGAGAAACAAAAGCGGGGGTAGAATGCGTTTACGATTTACCAAGAGGCTGCAACTTTTCGGTACACTAAATCACTCGAACGTACGTCACCGCACACTTGCTGTGCCGAGCTGTTGCAAGCGGAAGAAAGAAGTAGCATCCTTTTCTTTATATTTTATTCACGTTTCATTTCATTCTGTTGTTATCAGCCGCGGGCACATCTTTCTACATGCGCCCGCCGTCGCAATTATACTACGAGATTGTTTTTCTCGATTTATCGTCAATTTCATCCGCCAGCCATTTATATTTCAAACTCCAATTATCCCTCTTTGAACGTTCCCGCGTAAACCGTAAAGCAAATGCGTTATCAAGTGCGTTGGCCGGGTAGAAAAGTTTCGACGAGTTTCGCTACAAACGGGATTCGAAAATTGGATCGTCTGGAATCTACTGGATTTCCCTGCATGAAATTCCTGTAGTTTTATCATAAATTATTAAAAACAGCGAAGAGGCACATTTAATATTGACATGAAACTCTAAAAAGAACATTCACATTCTATTGAATCTTGTTTTCCTTTAAAATTTTACTAATTTATGGACTTTCATTATTTTTGATTTTCAATTACATTCAGAATTGTTCTTAAATATGAAGGAGTTACTTTTCTGGTGTATATGGAACTGACAAAGAGGAACAATCTTGTTACCACGTCAGCTGTACATGAGGTTTTATCCGTCTCACTCCCTTTGGAAATATTGTGGTGGGTTTCATATTAAAGGGACAGCAACTGCGGTTACAATTCTCTCGGTTCTCTGCGGGTCTGCCACTATCGAGTAAATTAAACGCGAACATCCTAGGAGCTAGCTACAGATGCTTCTTTTTCTAGTCGACTATTCAAAGTTTCATTTAGCGTCGTCACCAGATTTTTCAGAACATTTCACAGAAAATCGAGTTTTTATTCACATTTATTCTAACAGAGATTTGCTTTCTTCTCCGTAATGCGGAGTTTATATACGTATTTTATTACGCATGGAAAGGGGAGTTACTATTTATATTCTTATAATCAAATCTTTACACAAGATTTACCCCACGTGTCTACCGATCACTCTGATCTGATTAGTAATCGTGAAAGCAATGACCCGAAATCTTTCCCGTATCTACGAAATTCCGTCAGGAAGCAGCGAAGTCGTTGAAATTAGTGAGAGCGTGCGGAGTGACGCAATTATTACTTCGCAGTGTAATTATCGAGCATGTGGATTCACTCACCGTACATCTGTTGAATCCCGTGCCTGTCGTCCTCCGGTAGCTCGTAATTAGAGCTCAATCCTTGGTACCACGGATACATGAGTGCCCCGGGTACCGAGCTGTGCGCTAAACCGAGAGAGTGACCGAATTCGTGCGCAGCCACCGCGAAGAGGCTGGTCCCTGAAAACGAAAGCGAACATTCGCTATTTTAACATATTTCTTGACAAATTGGCAAATAATTTTCGAACGTCACAATAGTCCTTCGACAAATGTAGGAACTTTAAAGGACAAGAATTACAGACTCAGTGTAAAAGATTTATTTTATATCTCGTCTATCATTTTCATCTAGTTCGTTTCTCGTTGCAGATTCTTCGAGAGGAGGGAAGAAACCTGACGAGTATCTACGTACATACGAACGGGCAGACCGAGGACGTTTGTCTCAGAGGAGAAATAAAACGGTACGAGGGAAGATAAATTGTTCGGACATTGTCCCCGAGTAAAGTTAATGTCGCTTTTGTCAGTTTATGGCTCATCGAACAGTCGCCAGGGGTTTTGTTCGTGGCATTAGAAAAATATAAAACAAGAAAGGAAACGATGGTACGGGCAGTGAAATCGACGAACGATTTAAACAGATTGCGACCTCGGATTGCTATCTATGTTGATTACTTTGTATAATGTTTCTTTTGTATTTATGCATTTTCCATTAATGTATCGATCAGTATTTAAATTGAGGTATAATGATAATGGAGTAAACGCTTCGATCTATGTATATGAATTCCAATAGAATTAGTCAAAGTATTTAAAATGCATTGAAATACAAATATAGAATTGTACCATGAAATTATATATGACGTTGATTTATTGCGAGATGATTACTTTTTTCGACAATGCAAGTGCGAATTAAATTATAAACGTTTAAAAGAACGCATTTAAATCAGATCATACGAGAGGAAGCTTTTGGAGATCTTCTATCGCGTTATTCTTTTAGCTGAAAAAGTTATCCACGTCCTTGTGCTTAAAAGAATCCGCTGAGGTTTATGAAAACATGTCTGTGTAGTTGTAAGTTACAAGTTCACGAGCGAAGCAGGTGCATAGTTATGCACCCCGGGGAAAAGGAAAAAGATTATGGAGAATGAACTTTAAATGGGAAAACTTGAGAAAATTGATATGGGATGAATAATTAATTGCGTTCTAAGAAACCTTTTTTGATAACGTTTCAAAGAAGGGAGTATGCAAAGAGGATATCTGCAATTCAGGTTAATTAGACCGTGCATTTTTTCCCATTTATAGAGCATTTGAATTTCAGAGGTGACGCAGAATGTATAACATCAAATTCATACATGAAATAATTAACGTGATCATATTATTGTATTCTGAAAGAAATTAAATCCTTTGAACTATGTTTATGAGAATTTGATTACATGAAGAGTAAAAGAAATCTCAATTCAGATTTAGATAAGTTTTATTCAGCGTAAAAATCTGTCATACTAATAATCAAGATTTAAAATTATTCATAGAAGAATTTTTCCATTTATAAACAAAAATTTCAGCACCAAATGTTGTTATTATTATTCGTACCACACAGAGATTTATTCACATGGTTTGTGACAAGAATATTCAAATTAGTTTCTACTGTATCCGGTTGCTCATACGAATGTTTTTTTCTGTTTGTCGCCTTTTTATCGTCATTCCGTCTCACTACGTATCCGGGTCGTTCGTTTTTGAAATGTAGGTCGGAATCATAAAATTAAAGCTCGCGAGAGCTTGGCGTTAAAGGAAGCATGTACAGTTACCGCGATCGTTTTCTTTTCCACCTATTTATATTAATCTTTTCGCATACTCATCGTCCGAGGATGCCAGTCCATCGACGAAGAGAAATAAAGAGATATCTCAGGAAATATTATCGTTTTAAACAATGTGCTTTAACGCTTTATAGCGCAAAATGTTCGGAGTTAACCCGAGTAAAGAAATGAAGATGCGTGAAGAAAATTAAAACATCGTCGTGAGTACTGAATAATTGAATTATAATTCAGAATGGAATTTAATTAATTTCGATACTTATGGAACTAGAGATTGTTCATTAGCAAAAGCGTTACGTTATCCGGACTTTGCTTCAGTACATAACGTAGTACACGGTCCACTAGCAACCTTGAAACTCGATACTCTGTAACGAGAAAACTTCCCCGATCCTAAGGCTAAAATGAACTCTACCAATCGTATTAGTGGTCGTTCAAAATTATTATTTTGTCGGTACCATCACCTCTCCGAAAATCAAATTCTTCATGGATAAAAAAGAATTCTAACGCAGTCTTCGTAAATACTGATTTACTGAATACCATTTTTAAAACTGAATCTAAGCACTCGTTTTGCTTTTAATCCTCTTTTAAACCAACTACAGTTTATATTTTATAGCAATTTGTCTAGGAAGTTGTATTTAACGTTCAAAGAAAAATATTTTCTTTTCATAAATGTATGTCGTTATATCGTGGAACGAAAGGAACGAGAATTTTTGTATATATTGCAATTTTTTTTTACTTCTTTTCACATTTAAAAAAAGCTTAATTGCCGTTACCGTCGAAACGGGGTCGGCGTTTCATTTCTAGAACAGAATTTACGACGTTCGAAAGTTCTTGCAATCGAAATGTCAAAAGTTACGACACGGGACAAGTAATGCGTTTTTACGAGGGTGACGAAAAACTTGCGAATATATGTGAGAAGTGGCGCAACAAAAAAGAAATAAAAGTCGAACGTGGGAGGGTGGCGGGCGGAAAGTAGTTAAATATCGTTAGTTTCACGTTTCTGTTATTGTGCTATTACGCGAATACGTCTCTGGGGATATGATATACGAGTTTTATTAATATTTCATGCAGACTCGCCGAGGAGCTGGTTGTAAGCAGGACGTCCTTTTAGAATAGGATCGTTGGGCGAAATGTCGGGACACTTTTCTGAAGGGACAAGCTTAAAGCCGGAAACCTCGAACACTATAAACTTCCAAGAACTCGGTCTTGCGGAAGCTAAGAGGAGTCAGAGTCTAGGATGGATTTAGCTTGCTGGTATTTTCGGGAATTTCGGACAGAATTACAGACTAAGTTCCTCTTTCCTTTATTTGTACGTATTATCTCACCACAGCTTCTCATCCGCTACAATTATATAAAATAAAATACCTAATAAAAGTTTAGTGTATCGTCTAATATTCTAACAGTAGTAATCCATTTGATAACATTTATTTTATAACAGTTGAATAAACTTCAGTCTACCTTCACATAGAGATCTATTACTAGACTGCAGATTTTTATACAGAACAATTGAAAAAATGTAATTTCGATGGATATTCGTTTGGCAATTTAATATTAAGCGTTACGACGTGCAAGGATCTGCGAGCACATAGCGAAACGTCAATCGCAGGAAGAGACGCATCACCGAGAAGTCTATACGCGTCACGCATCGTCGTCGTCGGCGTCGAGATCATCTCTTTCGGACAAGTTTGCTCGTTACCAACTTTCGTCGCATCGCGTCGCGGGTACTTCGGGATCTTGACGTTAACAGCAGCCGGCTGCAATATACCAGGAGTCAAGTGCTCTTAATCAAAAGCCCGGCTCGAGAATGAGCATGAAAATAAGTGGAACGGATTACGGTCGTCCTCGAAGGCCACTTCAGATTGCCTGCTGGCTTTCTCGATATCCTAGCCGAGTTTCTTCGGAAAACTTCTATACAACAACGCGGCTCTCTTCCTCGTTCCCATTCTTCAGAAATCGGGAAGCTCTCGGCGAATTTTTACCAAACTTCACTTTATATAAAGCGTCGACTTTTGACACCTTTCAGTACATCAACCTGTCCAACGATGGTTTGTGCAAAAAATATCGATCAGCAAGAATGGAAGTGTTATCAGGTGAAGTTTCGACATTCTTCGTCTAGTCGGGATTTAAATAAAACTAGTTCCCCCTCGAACTTTGAATAAAACTATCCTGTAACAAGATAGTTGTTTTGATAACGATTGAACAAAATGCGAGAGACACAAGAGCACTTTACATGCAACTGGCTAGACAGTAATAAGTATAAAACGCACGTATATCTAGTCTACAGAAAATCCAGTTACAATGTGATGAAGAAATGCCAAAAATCTCTAACGAGTCTTGGAATGAATTGATCAGAGTCCAGTCAAGAGATTTGACACGGTGCGTCAGGATTGAAAACGAGTAACTGGCAAGACTATTCTCGGAGGATGCTAATTTTCCAATGGATTTGCAAATCGTGACGTTCCGGTTTCTCATCGTTTGCAAACGTCCTGCGGTTCCCGTCGGGACATGTCAGCGATGACATTAGCAATTCATAACTGACACGTAACGTTGTAGAATATTCGCGATGGCACAGTGACTATGTTCCTCTTATCAGAAACTACGACAATAAGGACAACGTGTTCGAATTATCGTACAATACCGTCTTAGATTGTTAGAAAGTAATCTTGGGAACCAGTAACTACGTAATATGGAAAGTTCTTGTTATAGTTATTATTCGAGCAATTCCTTCGTGTAGATATTCCAAAAGTTAGATTGCATTAATATTACTAAGAATTTCAAATAAAACTGATGTATGTATTCGAGAGACATTGTAACATGATTAAAACAACGATTTAAAATGTATCTACGAACACACTTAACAACCATACTATTATATAATAAATAATCTGATAAAACATTTTGTATTATAATTCTCCTACATTTTCAAAATGAATGTCCATATCCTTGATACTGTTCGTTGATTTAAATTTTAATAGAAGACATAATTAAAGTGGTGCATGTAATTTTTCCGGATTTCCTCCCTTCGTATCTCTTTTTCATGCAAAAGTAGGATAGCGAGAGTAACGAGACGTTAAATAATTCATGCCGTGCAGAATTTTCATAATCCGATCATCGACGAGAGTCCTAAAAATTTTTAATACAGGTCCAAATTGAAACTGGCGGCTAAAGGAAAGAAGACTGCTTCATGTCGGTTTGAGTTTTTAGGAAAATCGGGGAAATTAGTAATTTGAATATGCGAGCTACGGCATTATTAGGCGAACTCACCGGGTCCGGGTGTCGGTGAACACGGTATGATTATGACTATGCTAATGGAAACTGTGCAACGCCAGCAGAGAATGAGAGCTAAGCCGGAATTATTAACGGCGCCAATCGAAATTGCGCGCAAGACCCTATCGAAATTAGTCCGAGGGCGATAATCCGTGATACAGGAAACAGTTTGGTCACCGGTTCTCATTGTCCTCTCTGTACCTTCGATTTTATCAACTTCGCTCTGTACGAAACCTCGTTCTGATCGTCAAATTTCAATTCTCATCATCTACCACAATTAGACTGCGGAGTTGTTTGCAGAATAAAACATTTATAGCATCAGTTTAAGAAAATGTATTTTAAATAAACATTCATGTTATGTACTCGGTACAGTTTTATACATTATTTCTTTTGTACACTCAATATAAATGCATAAAATCCACTGTTTAATCATGATCTGCTGTGACCTATATTTACGATATAAGATCAAGATTACACTAATACAGAATATGGGAAGAACGTGACAAAGTCGCTACTTGCCATGAAGATCATGTACGTACTTTAGTAGTGCGACTTTACTGTAAAGCGCACGGAAACTGTATCAGAGACAAAACTGGTCTTAAGAATAGATTTGCTAGCGGGGCGCGGCATGCCTTACGATTAGTTTTAGGATAGCCCGAATGTTTTGGGATCCGGAGGATTTTCGTATGTAGGAAGACACTCGCGGGATCTTGGCTGATCCCCTCTACCCATACGACTCTCTTCTTGGAACGACTCGACCGGAACCCGTAATCTAGGATATCCGACACCGGGTTTTCAAAGGGACCGTTCACCATTAGAATTCGGGAGTTCCCACGTTCCAGTTATCGCAATGAGAGTATTTGCTTCTCCTGGATCTCATCAGATTCCACGCGCGTTTACACCTTATCCCGGTGAGAAACGATTTGTCGTGATGTGCCACAAAAAAAGGTCTTCAGGCGTTTGACTTCCGTTGGTTTTCAAGCGTATACTCATACGTAGACTACAGTATGAAATAGGAATGAGATAAACGTTTCGATACGTTTCATGCATCAAATGTAATAAAAAAGATTTAGATTTAGGAACTTGGATTAAGTGGGCGTTAATCAGGCATAGACGAACGCTCCATTATTTAATTAAAATTAACGATAGTCTTGATACATCCCAGGATTACTCCAATCATGTATTTTTACTTTTATATGTTGATGCATCGTTCTTATTTCCCTCGGAAAAGATTGTAAATGGATAATTCTATAAGTTCGTACAGCGAGCGAAGCCGCGACGTGGGACGTTAGTAATTTGATAAAAATTTCTGTAGAAGTTTGGACGATTATCGGTGAATGAACATATTAAACCGCAGGGTTCATATCGACCGAGGAGACCGATACGGCGTGGAACGTTTTCACCGTCGTCCCTTATTTCTTCTACCCTCGTCTCGGTTCACGGTGGGTGACCGAATTGGCAAATCGCCAGGAACCGGAAAAAGGCTCGATCGTCCTTGTGGAAATTTTCTCGGCTCGCGGTAATCTTTTCTTTCCATCTTCAAGTCCCTTCGAACGTCCTTTTATCACCGTTTTCTCTCGCCGCTACCGCGAAATCCCCGGTTCGAATTTCACGATTTTATAGCTATCGAGCTAACGTAGGTAAACGCGGCCGGTACCGCGTTCAACTATTTTTTATTCTTTTTCTCTCTACCCAGGGAATATTTGAACCAGTTTGTTAACTCAACAATTTATCGAATATTCGCTGTTAAAACGTTCTCGCTGCAATTTTTCTAAAACTCGTTCTATCGTTTCGATGGGATGAAACAAAATACAGATTTTATTTCGTTTAATCTTATTTACGTTTCTGACACGATTAGAGTGTTCGATACTAGCACCTGGTAAGAGCCGAGTCAAAATGAAATTGAGCTTCCCACAATATGCTCTGATATGGAAATCCTCCCATTGTAGGAGATTCATTTTTTAGGTATGTGTATATAAGAAGTCTGGCTTTAAGCTTTGTCCGGATTATTCTGACGAAGAGTACGTGTCTCTCTGACAGAAGGAAGATCGGAGGACACGTACCCACCACTTGTAGCAGACCGTCACATCGTATCACCGATGCGTATCAGTTGATACAGTGTCGCAGTAATGTAAGAAGTAAATTTTAATACGCTTGTCGTATACACTGATGCGCAATAGCGATACGACATAAGTGAATTCCGGGCTGTACGTTGTGCACTGTGCACTGCGAATCATAAATCACAGGACGCTTCCTGTTTTAGTTAGTATCTCGTTAAGAACATTTTCTTACCTTCTTCGTTGTTGTTGTCCTGCAACAACCATATTTCCTCCTCGTCGAAGTGAACGTCTCCGCCGCGGTCTTTGCCAGGGAAGAACGCGTGTGCCAGAATTTGACCCCTGCCATCGAACGGATATCCGTCACCGTGATAACCGCTGTAAAACGAGTCGAAGAAAACAATTTTATTTATGTGTTTACGATTTTATAAGTTTCTTTTGCATTACAACGAGTGTAGTGAATCTCAGAGTCTTTCGTTGCAATCTTTTTATAATGATTGGGTCAATAAATACAATTAATTATGCACTTTCATTATTTTTTTATACAATTAAAATTGATTTAATAAACATTAAATTTGTAAGACTGTCTTTTACATAAATAATGATTAACGCGTTGAGAACCAGGTGTTAAAGTGAAATTCTGATTCAGTTAAGGTCAAGGTTTAAGGTAACTCCCTCGAAAGATTCGCACGTAACTCGGGTTATTTTAAATTTTAAATTAACCCGTTTTGGTTTAATCGCACTCTCACTTCCAGCTGCGTCATCGCGATAAATTCTGCCGGATAGCAAGGAAGCACGTGAATCGAGCCATTGATTCTCTCTCGGCGCTCGCCCGCATTATTTCTGGCTCTTTTGTTTTCTTTCTGGTCGGTACATAGCCTACCACCGCATGCACAGGGCTTAAAATTATTATCCCCCGATTCAGCTCTGTCGAACTCTCGGTCCAGTCTAAATAGAGCCAGATGAAATTGTTTCGAAAGAGGCCTGCGGAAGTATTTCATTCTATTCTCTAAATTGTACCTGCGGCACACGCGGACAATGAGTTCATTATCTCTCGATTAAATTGCCATGAGAGCGACAATGTATCCATTCGTTGAAAATAAAACATAGATTTACATAGAATGTTCAATGAAACCTTCATTAGTGATGCCTGTCAGCTGCATTCAGTATAACTAATGATGCCAAACTGATACTTAATCAAGTGTATAAATTTAAATGCATATATGAAATGAAACAAAAATCTGATATTTAATAATTATATAATGATATTTAATAATTATCATGAGAGAAAATAATGGCGAGCGAATGCAGAATGTGAAGAGTATATTTCGTACGATTGGTTGATTGCATTAGGAGAACGTGCAACTGAGAGTGGGTTAATTCGAATATCTGCAGGAACGGAACTTCTCATTTAATCAATAGCAGCAATTACAGAAGTTGTAATTAAAAACTGAGGAGCGTGCACATTAAATCAGTATTGTTTCCGTGTATCTGATAGATCACGTACAACTCATTTATCTAATTTATCGGTTTTCCTATAGTTTCCTGCATATAGTTTGTAACTGACGAGAAACTGTTGCATTACGCATACCTAAACATCTCGCCTAGTTGCTTTTGACGTGTATCGGATATTGTTAGTCTTGGACCGATTATCGATCATGTTTCTATCAGTTTATGTACATATATATGCATAATTTATTTCGCAGTCCCGCATTTATCGTAGAACGAGATGTTCCATGTATTCCATTAATATAATATTAACGATGCCCCATGTTTCGTTAAAGATTCAGCTCTAATATTTAATTTAAGACTGTCTTTCTTTACATTAAATTTAAAATATGTTTTTGTATATTTAATTTCAGATGACGTATTTGAGAATTATTATTATAAATGAAGATTCTTAGTATCCATGTAGACAAACGCCATTTAGGAGACCCTTTCTTTGAAACTCTATTACAACGTGCCATACAAACGGATAGAACAAAACGATAGACCGGGCGAGCAGAGAAAGAACGAGGAAGGGAAAGAGACTAGGGGTGATCTCGATTAGCCATCCGAATGGCGCGATATCATTGGCGTATCGGCTGTCTGGATAATCGACGAGTGCTCGCAAGCGGAATTTAATTACGGCGCGTGGAACAAGCCGAGTCCAGCGGAAAGGTCAAACCAAACGGACCGCTAAACTAAGCGACGGTTCGTGCATCGCCTGGCCATCTCCGAAACACTGTCGGAATTATCCTCAGAAAAGCACTGGCAAATATTTCAAATTATCCACTAGCCACTGCTTGCACTATAAAGCTTGGTAGTATTACATTTCATTTTATCAGACTACATCTGTTTAATAAATAATATCAGAGGCAATGATACGATATTTAATAAGTAAAGGTAAATGTTATTTAAAAATTAATCAAATATTTGATCCCGCAGAAATAGATCATAAATTTATACAACATTAATTAATTTCTATGCCAATGGATGTAATAAATTCGACTAAATAAAACGATTTTGATTCCAGCAAAGCGCGAACAAGGAAGTTCGTCGACGCGGTAATTCAACGATTTTATACATAATGTTATATCAGACCCATAATACAAATCGACCTGTACGTCTGAATAAATAGCAGGTAGCGCACGAACGAACGGGTCGACACGTGAAACGTGTAAACTGAGGGAAATTCCCGGTGAAATGGAATAATACTACTTTCAAACATTCGCGATGAAAGTTCGTTTACAGAAGCGGTGGTCGTTTGGCAGATACACGCATATATGAACGTGCGCCGCCCGCTACACTAACGCACAAAAGTATTCGGTTACCTCGTCTCCAGAACGAGAACTTTAAAACGGAAACACGTAATATCATTCCTAATTATTTAATTCTTTGTTGTTACTTAATCGATAGTAATTTTATTGTAAAATATATCCACGTGTCTTATATTAATTTTTGATTTCATTAGGCCTGTTAAAAAGAGACCATTTTACTTTAATTAACTTCGAATCGGTATTTCAATACGTTTGGTGCACTGAATGCATTTAATCCTCAATTAAATAATTATTAAATGTATTAATCTGATAAGAAATTCAGGAATCACGAACGATCCATGCATGAAATTAATTGCAATTAATTCATGCCTGAAATCGTTCGAAATTATTATTTATTTTGATATGTTTAATGCTCAGGTAAATTGATAAAAGTTGGGTATCTTTGAATGGTTGTGTACTAAAAGTGTCCGTATGATATTTTCATCGGGCAAATATTTCGTAACTCGATTATACCAGCCACTCGAATCGTTCTGTATACAAATCCGAAATCATTGATTTCATCGAGTACTGGCCTCGTGATTTTCGCTTGGAAAATATTTTGTTTTGTTTGAAGTTATTTAGGGAACAAATCCGAAATCATTGATTTCATCGAGTACTGGCCTCGTGATTTTCGCTTGGAAAATATTTTGTTTTGTTTGAAGTTATTTAGGGAACAATATTATCCCTTATCGATTGATTCTACTACGCGCTTGTACTCTTTACTGAATTTAATTTATTGTTAACGTTTATTATCATTACTATAAAGTTCCAATGAAATTTTCTGAAAGATTTAATATGCAACCAGATTTTCTCAATATTTGAATTTGTTTTTATAATTTAATTGTATTAATAGAATGAATATGTTTTCCGTAAAACATCAATTCTGAATTATCGAATTTCTACTGTATCAGAATTATAAAAATCAAAGGGGCATAAAAACATAATTAAGACCAAGCATTTACGACTATTACCATTGCGAGTGAACGCCGGATGTGGCTTTGAAAAAAGTAGCCAGTCTCGTATTTATTTCAATTATTTCAGCAGCAGCTGCGGTAGTCATGAATACGGTCGGGTGACGAAGAGAAAGCAAAGCAAAAAAGAGAGGGACAGAGGTAGAGAGAAACGAACGCGTAAAGCTCGAACTTTTTTACAAAGTTCAAACTCGTTTCCTGGTTGAAAAAATTCTCTGACCGAACGAAATGAGAACGAAGCGAATCCGCCGGATGGGACGCGCGGAACTATGTAGTATAACTGGAATTGTAAAAGAGAAACGGTACGGAGGGATTGTTCACGGGGTATTAACGTCGATGAGAAAGCCTTTCTCGGTGACCCAAAGTTCAATTGTTTGTTTCGCGCTTCTTCAGCTTCCGCTACTTTGCTACAGTTACGAACTACGGAAGAGCCTGGGATCAGTTATCTAATTTAACGGCTACAGCTTAATACCGAAACTTCCAACGAAGGATGTTTGAATAAGCGTTTTTCATAAGGGGATAATTAATTATTTCATACTAATCAATATTCTGTATCATTTTAACTCCTATAAGAGGATTTACCGAATCGTGTATATGCCACATAATTTTTTACTTCATCCGGATGTTTTAACTTATTATGAATGGAATTTATTTTGTAGAACTTGGATGAAATATCTATACAGGGTGAGTCGGAAATCGTAATACAACCGGGCAGGGGATGATTCTACGTTAAAAAAGAAGAAAACATTTTGATATAACATTTTTTCATGCGGAGCTCCGTTTTCGTCTTCGACTTCAAAGTTTGTTCAACTTGTATCGTGATTTTCGCTTGGAAAATATTTTGTTTTGTTTGAAGTTATTTAGGGAACAATATTATCCCTTATCGATTGATTCTACTACGCGCTTGTACTCTTTACTGAATTTAATTTATTGTTAACGTTTATTATCATTACTATAAAGTTCCAATGAAATTTTCTGAAAGATTTAATATGCAACCAGATTTTCTCAATATTTGAATTTGTTTTTATAATTTAATTGTATTAATAGAATGAATATGTTTTCCGTAAAACATCAATTCTGAATTATCGAATTTCTACTGTATCAGAATTATAAAAATCAAAGGGGCATAAAAACATAATTAAGACCAAGCATTTACGACTATTACCATTGCGAGTGAACGCCGGATGTGGCTTTGAAAAAAGTAGCCAGTCTCGTATTTATTTCAATTATTTCAGCAGCAGCTGCGGTAGTCATGAATACGGTCGGGTGACGAAGAGAAAGCAAAGCAAAAAAGAGAGGGACAGAGGTAGAGAGAAACGAACGCGTAAAGCTCGAACTTTTTTACAAAGTTCAAACTCGTTTCCTGGTTGAAAAAATTCTCTGACCGAACGAAATGAGAACGAAGCGAATCCGCCGGATGGGACGCGCGGAACTATGTAGTATAACTGGAATTGTAAAAGAGAAACGGTACGGAGGGATTGTTCACGGGGTATTAACGTCGATGAGAAAGCCTTTCTCGGTGACCCAAAGTTCAATTGTTTGTTTCGCGCTTCTTCAGCTTCCGCTACTTTGCTACAGTTACGAACTACGGAAGAGCCTGGGATCAGTTATCTAATTTAACGGCTACAGCTTAATACCGAAACTTCCAACGAAGGATGTTTGAATAAGCGTTTTTCATAAGGGGATAATTAATTATTTCATACTAATCAATATTCTGTATCATTTTAACTCCTATAAGAGGATTTACCGAATCGTGTATATGCCACATAATTTTTTACTTCATCCGGATGTTTTAACTTATTATGAATGGAATTTATTTTGTAGAACTTGGATGAAATATCTATACAGGGTGAGTCGGAAATCGTAGTACAACCGGGCAGGGGATGATTCTACGTTAAAAAAGAAGAAAACATTTTGATATAACATTTTTTCATCCGGAGCTCCGTTTTCGTCTTCGACTTCAAAGTTTGTTCAACTTGTAAAAGATTTATACTTGCAGCAGTGGAATTACTATTGCAAGCTCTCAAAGCAAGTGACATATCAATATACTCCCGACTGGAATATTTTACCATAGCCTAATCTTATTGTATGCACATTATTAGATTCATTCCGAGTCATGAGCCTATTCAAAATTAACATATAATGAAATATTTGCTCGTGAATAGATTCTCTATAAAAGTACCATGATTCTTTTTTAATATTCGTATATAGAAACAGTCGTTGCAAATGAGAAATACTATACTTACTAAGGAATTTTCCATTGTCTCTAATTTTTCACATCAAGAGGGAATGAAACGAACATCATCATAAAGTTATTATAAAAAGACGTATGAAATTTTTGTTTGTGGCAATGACTCACCGATGAAAATAAACGAGAATGTCGGCTCTATCGCTGTTAACTTCCTGGAAGGTGAGCTTCGAGTTCCTCGCCCATAGATTCAGGGCCCTGCTGAGCTCGTAACGCACGCCGCCGGTGTCGAGGCCGCTCGGTTGCTCGGTTCTCAGGCTGACAACAGAAAGAAAAGAGACGGGGATCGTTAGGAATTCGGCTAAAATTGATTCTCGTGCGAGGCGAGCGCCGAGTTACGCTTTTGTCCGCTCTATCGGCTGGCTCCGCGCTCCGCCTCTGCGAGCTGCGCTGCTCCCGATCCGATAAACCACGCCGGCAAACCGGGGAAAATGTTTCCGGCGAGAGACGCTGAAAAGGAAGACGATTCAATCGTGTTGCCGCGACAACGACGACGAGGGGGCGACCGCGCCCCCTTGGAAATTAGGTAAATTATTTCCCCGACCGGAATGGAAAGTAATAAGGGGGAAGGGAACGTTGTTGCGCGCCGAAACGCGGAAATTTCGAGGAATTACTGAAATTATGTCGCCGCGGAAAATCAGCAGTCAGGGGAGGAATACGTTTTCCGGTCCCGCCTAACGGGAAAGTCGCTAGATACTGTCGTGAAATTCCACGAATTCCAAAAATTTATTCTCCCTTACATTTTGTTGAGAAAAGAAAAATAAACGAATTATGAGAGACACTTGGAAGTTTCTGTAGAGAAATAGTCAATAAAATGATTTATTTTATTCTTTTGATTGACGGTTTAATATTTACGTCAGGAATCGTTTTATTAATTCTGATAAAAATATATAAAATTAAGAGTCTCACTCTTTTAATCGACGAATGGATATTAAAACTTTGTATACGCTATTTGGATTCTAAATAGACTCTGGATTAATGACATGACAACTTGGTTCAACTTCCACGAAGAGTGGATTTCGCTATAATTTTCTACCAGTTGATGCACAATTAGTAAATGATGAGATATAAATTGTACCAAGGAAATGAGAATAGAAGCTAAATTGACAACGAATAGCTTCTATGTATAATAGGGTACGAAAATCTTACGTAAGATACGATTTCAATCCTTATCATCCACCTTGTGAGAAATTGAAAGGAATATTCGACCCATCCACCCTCTCGACATTACGTAACTTACGGATCTCAACGTTGAATTGCTTCATAAAATAGATGTCTACATAAAAGACGAACCAATAAGAATAGCTATTTCAGATGCAATTATTTCATCCTACTGAAAGATTGCGTTGAATGAATCATCTCTGTATTTCTTCTAACTTATTGAATTTAAGGTCTTGCATTTCAATTAATTCGTTTTATAAAGATTTGGTAATAAAATCAATAAATATTTATTACATGCTGTCTAAATTAAAATAAATCAACGAATATGTAATAAAATTAAAAGAGAATATGAGGTAGGAGCAAGTATTAAAATTGTTACATTTAACTATGAATAAAACCATTTATTATTCTCGTTATGCATATGGATGACTGGAACACGTTCAAAGCCATCGTTGGCATTGTATTACCGTCTATACGACAAAGATAATGGCTGGGCGTTTTGTCAACGGGGGCGTGTTACCCAGTTTCCTTTTAAGTGCATAAAGTCTGAACGTACAATTAAGAAATATGTACGCGTTAGTGTTAAGCAATTAATTACTCCGGTCTAAAGCTCCGTTTTAATATTCTACAGTAATTTAAAAATTTGTCCGCAATCACTCCTTCCTTTCAACAATTTAATGTGCGTGCTTTTGATTAATAAATGAATAGTAAATAAATCTCGGCATTTTTATTTCACGATCCTTGATCAAATAACCAATTCTGGTAATTAAATTTCGCTGGAATAGAATTCGAACGGACATTAAATGATGAGAATTTAGTAATTACTAATAGTCCGATAGTATAGGAATTGCACAGCACGAAGTCTGAATTCTAATTTTCTCATTAGCATTCGAGACGCTGAAAAAGACGTGAATCTCACGTCAAACTTTCACGTTACAGTGCAAACTGCATCCAGCTTTAATCTTCCAAAATTCGATATCTCGGTGATACTGGAATAACGAATATACTACAGCGTGACACAGCGTAATAGATAGTATATAAAACCAAGGGCAGGTTTAAATTGTAACTGGCTGGTGCCCGCGTTACGCGATGATAACAGCGCGCAAACAAGCTATGCTCGAGGCATCCCCTAAAAGGATTACACGTCGCGTGAACGACGCAGCCTGTTTGCCTTATAGATGGATCGACCTATCCCCGTGGCAAACATCGCGTTATCGGTTCCACGTCCTCGTTCTCGAGATCGTTAAGCTGATAAAAAAAGAAGGTACCTCGGATCATTTAACGAATGTTTCCTGATCACAATGGAAATATACTTTCATCCATAATTCATTGGACATTAACGTGAAGCACGATCGAACGAACGATAGATGTATTCAATATTTAATGGACATATGCAACATCATGAATAATATTCTTAATTGTAATAAAACATTATTTAGATTTCGTTCTTTAAATTGATATTATAAATACTTCATAACTCAGTACTTTTATTACTTTGTCTTGTTTTACATTATTTTATTTATCGCGTAGAATTATATTTTATAGATTATTATGAAGTTATCAGAGGCTTTAGGTCAGAACAAACGAGATAACATGAATATTAATTACAGGAAGATAAATATTAATTATCCAAGAAGATTGGAAATCATGATTACTTTATAATTTAAAAGAGGAATTCGTTTGCACAGCGGAGCACAATTAGAAGATGTAACCGCGTAACGTAATTTCAAAAATCAGTGCACCTCTTAATTAACCGATAATTCCCCCGTTTATTTCAGCAAACGATTTAAACCGCGACAAAAGCAATTTATCCCTTCGTTACGCTTTTTATCAATCAAACGCAATAGGAGCTCAGTACGTGTTTGGAAACGGGCTGTCAATAATATTTTCTGTTACAAAGAGGAAAGCATAAATGGTACGAATAATGATTGTATAGTTGAAACCTGTTACCATCATTTATAC